AGGTGGAAAGCATTAGATGGTCTGATATTGATAAAGAATTTACCGCAGACTTCTTATAACCTTTGCTCTGCTTTTATTAGACCAAAATAAAAACTAGTGACCATTTACAAAATTAAAACACCAAAACAGGCAAATTAAGATATCCAAGCAACCACCTCAAAGGATGATTCAATAGTTAAGAAATTGAAATGTCAAGTTGAAGATCTTAAATTCATATCTTAAATTGAATGAAGAGGAATTTAAGAAAAGAAAAAAAATTATCTTCTCTTATATAATCTATCATTATTAAATATATATATATATATATATATCCAAGCAGCACTAATCTCTCCTTCAACCTTGGATGACTAATTGCTTGAAACCTCCTCTCTGCCTATGATGTGACATTGAGTTTCATCAAGGTTGCTATTGTGATTATGATTATAATTATGAATTTTACGACGTAATCTGCACTGGAATTGCTCCATAACGAATCAGTTGAACATGATTTTCTCATAGAAAGAAAAAGATAATCAATTTAATGTCCTCGAGATCTTTTTCACCATTTCAATGGTAATTCTTTATGTTTAATCAATATGTAATTAGTATTCAACAAAAGATAGACACATTGATGAGAACTGAGAACCTAACTAGCTGTGTTGTTGCACCTAGCGCTAAGGGGCAAGAACTGACTGGATTTTGCAAATCGAACTGATCCATTTCTTCCTTTACAAATGATTTATGTGAATATTGCATATTTAGTGACCCAAATATTCTATCATAATATATATCTAAAATTCATATTTCTCAATCACATATTATAGAGTCTATATAATTAAAAATTATGTGTAAAAATGTTCAAAAGTTAAAATTAACTAGCTATTAAACACATACCTTTGTATCTGAAGGGTACTCTTGACTTTGGACTTCAGCTCAAAGGATTCCATCTCCTTCTGTTCATGTTTTCATTGATGCAGATTGGGCAAGATGTTTGAATACTTGTCGCTCCACCTCTACATTGTATTTATTCTTTAGTAATTCACTCATTTCGCGGTTTTCCGCGAAGAGCAATTCACAATTTCCCAATCGAGTGCAGAGGTTGAGTACTGTGACATTACAAATGCAGTGGCAGAAGCTACTTGGGAGAGGCAGCTGCTTTCTGAGTTATGTGTTCAGGTTCCTGCTCCGACAATGATTTATTGTAATAATATTATTGCTTTATACATGTCTATTAATCTCATTCAACATCAGCTTACAAATCACATCGAAATTGATCTTCATTTAGACCCGGACAAGGTGGCTTCTCGCTTGGTTTTCTTTGCAGCATATGACTTTTCTTAAAATCAATAGACATACGTCATAACAAATCAAGGCATTGCCAAATTTCTACCTTCCGACCATTCAGAAGTAATTTGTACGTCCTTCCTCATTACATTCAAATTGAGGGGAATAATAAGTATCTTGTTATATTGTTATACGTAAACTCACATAATTTATTTATTAATAATTCTTATATATTATTTATATAAAATTTTAATTATTTTTTTTATTATGAATTGTTAATATTTATTTGTTTTTTATTTAAAAAATAAATAAATATTAACAATTCATAATAAAAAAAATAATTAAAATTTTATATAAGTGAATATGTAAAATTTTTGTATAAGCATATGTTAACTTATATGAAAATATATTATAATAAGTATATTGTTTTAGAGGATAGTGTAAGATAGGCTGTTATTTTAAAATTCTTTTAAAAGATCGGTTTAAAATTTTACTTTTTAATTAATATTTATAAAAGCAAGATTGGATTGAAATTTTTATTTATATAAATTATGTTTGTTAATTTTTATTAGAGGATAATGCAAGATAGATCGTTATTTCAATTTTTTTTTTAGAAGATTTGTTTGAAAATTTACTTTTTAATTAATATTTATAAAAGCAAGA